GAAAGAAGGTTTCTGGGTTTTGTTTAACTTCTATATTTGTTAAAATGTTTCTTAAACTGCAGGCTCAGAGACCTGCAAGGCAGGCAGGGAACATTGGTTTCCTCTGTCACTGAAGCAAGCAAGCCTCATGTTAGTTTCAAGCTGCCTGGCTGCCGGCTACCATCTTCGCTGGCAGTTAATTTGCATATCTCGCTGATTAGCCAATGGGAAGGGTAGTGGTCGTACGCCAATTACCATGTTTCTCTTTTATTAGATAGGATTGTGCCCAAATCAACAAAGGTTGAGCTGGTGCATTCCATCCGTTTGGTTGTGGGACCCGAGGTCCACCAGCAGCCTTCGGCCTGGGCTGGAAATCCGGCAAAGCCCCACGGATGGTGCCTGGCTGGGAGGAAAGTGGGTTGAACCTGCCCACAGCGCCAGTGCCCAGCCCCTTGCCTGGTGCTTAGTATATATGCAACAGATGCTTGTTGAGTGAATCAATAAATGGTGTTTTGGAGAAGGCATGGGCAGGACTGAGCAAGAGCCAAGGCACGTGAGACATCCTGGTGGGAGAAATGAGAGGCCCAGTGGCATAAGGAAAACAGCACAAGTTTTAGAGCCCAATAACCTGGGTTCCAAGATTCGGTTTCTGCATCTGTAAGTGGGGGTACCAACAGTCCAGGTGGTTGTGGTGGAGAGCGCGTGTGCGAAGTGGCTGGCCTGCCAGGGCACCCCGTAAAGGTAACAGGAATGGCTACCAGGATTACGATGGAGGGGGCTTCCTTCCTCTTAGGACAGACAGTTCAGGGACTTCCAGACCCGCCCCTCCAGGAAGGCAGGGTGGCCTCGCTCCCTACCCTCTCCGGAGGCGGGAAGGGTCTAGCTTTCCAGGTGGTTTGCCTGGAGGGCCCTTTGGGTGCAATGAGTGGGGAACAGGACCCTCAGGAGGAGCCCACGGCTCCAGCCTGGCTCCAGCCTGGTTGAGGGAGGTCTCTTCCAGGCCACTGAAGACCACTTGCCAAAGAATCGCCAATATTTTCAAAGGGGCCTGACCCGGAAGAGGGGATCTCCTTGGAAGAGGGGGTGATGGGAGATCTTGATTCCATGCCAAGGGGCAGGCAGTGATCCGGAAGCCCCTTTCCCGCCAGCTTCCAAGGCTCTAAGTTCTAGTAGTGCATTGTGGGGAGGGAGTTGTTACCATCTGATCCTACTGAACCCTACGAACACAGGCCCCCCCCTGACTGGCCCTGTTTCCCCATTTCTTCAGTGGTTCCTTTCTCCCTGTCAGTCAGGCCTCTCCCCTACACTTGTCCCTGCCCTTCCCTTACCCGGGCCTCGGCCTCCACACAGTTGTGCATCAGCCCCATTACTGTTCCTCCCAGGCCTCACCCCCGCAGGTCTTATCTCACACCTGGTGATGGCAATCGCCTGATAACTGATCGCTGGTCTCCAGACTACGCCCCCAGCTCAGAAACCCCCGGCTTCTTTCTTCCTTTCCAGGAGGATCAAGCCCAAGCTTCTTATTGTTAGCATGTTTGTCCTTTATGCGGCCGTGTTTTGGTGAACTGGGTACATTTGTTGGCCGTGTCCCGCAGCACCGTCCAGTCCGCCCAGCAAGCATGGCTCATTTTTACCTCGGGGAGGGACCCTGACTCCTCCTTCCTTTCTGGACCTGCCCATCCTTTAGACCTGCTTAGGTTCCTCCCCTCCCCTCCCATGCCTCTCCTCCTCCCTCCTCCTGCTTCCTCTTCTATGAAGCTTTCCTGAGTCCCTGCCCTGGGATCTCTTTCTCCCCGGATCTCCTTGGTTTGGGCCTCGCCAGGCTGTGCAGTGTTGGCTCGGGCCGCTCCAGGCTGCCCTTCCAGGAAGGGCCGGAGGAAGTCCTTCTGGGAGCTCAGGTGGGGGGCTCAGGGCTTTTTCTGACGCTGTGGGCACCCTTCCTGCAGATGGGCCGGATGCTCGGGCAGGAAAAGCCCCCTGCTTTACTGGAACGCAAGCCTGTCTCCTTCCCCTATTTCTCTGCCCATCTCATTCCAGGAATAGGGTGTTGAAGAAAGAGGCTCCGGTACTTTCTCAATCCCCAGTTGTACCACACACAAAAGAAGACCCAGCAGCCGGCTGGCCTAGAGAGTTCTGTCTAGAGGAGAACTTGAGGGCTAGACTAGCCCCATCCTCTCATTCTGCGGCTGAAGAAACCGAGTCTTAGGAAGAGGGGGGCGGTGTGGGACTTTGGACCAGGCCTCAGGCTCCAGCTCAGGTCCCTGCTGAAAGGCCCAGCCCTCCCAGAGGTGACCCTGCTCTTGCTCCCTGGGGCTGGCCCCCAAGTGGCAGCCAGAGTGACCTTCCATCTCAGCTGACAGGAGAGGGTCTTGCTCTTCTCGAGGGCTCTGCCGGGGGATCGGAGTCCTCTCCTGGCCCCTGGGTTCCCAGGACCATGACAGGCAGAGTGGCTCCACTCCAGCTCCTGGTGAGGAGGTGCCCTGGTCATACTTCCTAATTCCAAGAGTCAGGGTTGGGGTGGGGTGGGGCTTAGGATGGGAGGTTACTTCATCGGAGCCAGTCCTTCAGGCCTGGGAGGAAAGGGGGATGGGAGAAGCAGACAGGGTGAGCCAGCAGGCGGAGGCACCCCCTCTCCTGGATGATTCTCAGAGAGGTGAGGACTTCTCGGGAAGCCCCAGGGGGCTCTTTCAATGCTTGGTCAGGGGTGGGAAGGGGAAGGAGGGAGCAGGGATGGGAGAGAGGCCTAGAAGATGTGAGGACTTGATCCCTAGTTAAACAAACACAGAGCCCTGCCGAATGATGTGAGCAT